AGCTAAAGTGCCCAGCGGTTCTTCCAAAAAATTTGTTCTTGATTGAAAGTCGCAGCTTGCTGAGACAAAGACCAAACTGTCAAATCTGTGTGCTTCATGTCTCTGAAGGGACTTTTGATGAAATTTAAATCTTTATTTGAGCTAATGTGTTGCATGAAGAACCCACAATTGGAATTTATCAATTTTAGAAAGAAAAAGAGGAATACACGTCATTTTTTAAGACAAATGATTAAAGGTTACTGCTGTGAATCGTTCAAACCCCTCTTTAAATGATCACTTATTTTAAACATTTATTTTTGAAAAAAAAATATAAAATTTGCTGCAATATTAAACATGCATAGTAAAGCTTTGAAGGCTTAAATGTTTTTTTTTAGATTTAATTTTTCAAAATGGAGCAAAACATGGCATTGATGTTTACTATTAAGGGAGGTAGGTGTTGGTGTAGGATAGACAAATAAAGGAAAATTATGATATTTTCAATACTTTACATAATACAATGAGAACTAGAAAATTCTGGTAAAGGAAGACGACTTTTAGACTCAAGTTATAAAATTTTAATATTCAAATAAACATGAAACTGAGCAATTGTGTACTGTGCTCAGACCACATTACTTTTTAATTGATTTACTAGTAAAACTATTGCGTCGTAACAACATATAAAAGACTAAATTAAATATCAGTTTACTGTCGTCTTTATATTCCCAGTTTTCTGGTTCTCTCTGTACTGATTATTCTTTTCTTATGACCATTATTATTATCGTTATCAATATTTTGACTAATATTTATACTGCCATTATCTGTATCGATGTTATTTTATTATTATTATTTTTATTATAATCATATTTACAATCTACGTTTTCTAGTTGAAAGTTGTGAAGAAACACCATCATTAATGTGGATTCCAGTTTTAGGAGAGTCAAAACTAATTTTTTTTAATAATTTCCAAAAACATGGTGCATTCATTTCTGTCAAGAAACCTGTGTTTTTCTATTGTTACGTCACAACGTACAAATTTATGTCACAACGTAGCATGACATTTATTGACTTTTATGTCACAACGTCGCATGACGTTTCTTGACTTTTATGTCACAACGTAGCATGACATTTATTGAATTTTATGTCACAACGTAGCA